TGAGGGAAGGCTGTTAGAATTGGGTTTGTTTAGTTCGGAAAAGAGAAGACTGAGAGGGGACATGATAACAGTTTTCAGGTATCTAAAAAGGGTGTCATAAGGAGGAGGGAGAAAACTTGTTCACCTTAGCCTCTAAGGATAGAACAAGAAGCAATGGGCTTAAACTGCAGCAAGGGAGGTTTAGGTTGGACATTAGGAAAAAGTTCCTAGCTGTCAGGGTGGTTAAACACTGGAATAAATTGCCTATGAATGTTGTGGAATCTCCATCTCTGGAGCTATTTAAGAGTAGGTTAGATAAATGTCTATCAGGGATGGTCTAGACAGTATTTGGTCCTGCCATAAGGGCAGGGGACTGGATTCAATGACCTCTCGAGGTCCCTTCCAGTCCTAGAATCTATGAATCTTGCAAGTGGTCTGCATTCAGAACTCCCACTATATTCAATATATGCAATTAAACTGGCTAGGATAAAAATTCATAAATATAATATGAACCCTTATGCTTCAGGATATAAAACAACTTCTAACTGCCTGGAATTGGGAAGAAGGTCACCCAACAGGGATATTATTGCAAAGTTGTCCATTGTGAGAGTTTTAGACCTTCCTCTGAAGAATCTGCTACTGGCCAATTTTGGAGACGGATTAGTGCATTAAATGGACCACTGGTCTGATCTGGTATTGCCATTCTTCTGTTCCAAGTGGAAGTTGGGAGCAGAGCACTCATTGCATGAGGCCCTGAATGCTATGTAGCAGCAGTAAAATGTCAGCTCTCCTTCAGAAACACCAGAAGCATTCATAGTTTAAAAGTGACTGGTAAGTAAAAATACTGTTTTGAACATTCCTCGGGTTCTTTGATTTTTTAATGAGCATGTTTTAATTTAGAGCCACTAGTCAATGGGTCAATTTCTGGAGTAAATTATTTCTCAGCATGAGTAATAATGGTAGAATCTGACTTTTTAATTTTTAAATGTCTAGCTTTGTCACTGTCTTGAATGCAGAACTCCTACAAGCTTCAACTGAGTGTTTAAAAATATGTAGGCCCTAAGGTACAAGAATTAACCACTGTAGTCTAAGGATTTAAATAATCTTGAAAAAAGATTTCTTGTTAGCTATCATAGCTTGGTGATCCAGTTATTTGGACTGAGATTGCAACTGTTTCCTCAAATCATTGCTGTATGTTCAGCAGAAAATCTCAGCAGCCTTCCAGCCCATGCATGGTGATAGACCCTAATCAATAGAAGGGTTAATATACCATGGAAATCCATTAAAAACTCAGCACTCCACAACACAGGATTTCTAATTTCCTTTAAAATTATGCCCACCCCCAGGCCTTCCTATACTAAAAACAGGAAACTGAGCTGTTTAGTGGTAAAGCCTATATGATAACTGGAGGAGCCCAGCATAAAGAAACAAGAAACTCTCCTGGCACATCACTGTGTGGAGGGATAGACAGATCCTGAGCTCTATTCTGATACCCTGGAGAGTCTCTCTTCACACCCCCCCCCCGTATCCCCCGCCCAAATTGATAATTCTGATTCTGACTGTGGGGTTTCTTTTTTAATCTTCATTATTGCTTTTTCTCAGCTGGAAGGTCACTTTAGTAAGGCAGCTAGACATTGTACCGCCTCATCAACATCAGTGGATAGTGACAGCAATTTTCTCAGGCTGACTTCAGGCTCAGGTCTAATATTAGACAGTGAAGGGTTCTAATAAACATTTTAGCATATTTATTAACTCCCCCAGTTATCCCATAGGCTTTTTTCTGGTGAACAGCTTGGTTTCCCTTGGGAACCATGTTTCATAACTTTCTGGTCTTCCATAACCCAGGAGACTGTGAATAGATAGGACAACACTTAAAGGAAAGCCGTGAAAAACTGCTAAGAAGGAAAGTAAGAAGGAAAGAAAAGAAAGAAAGAGGCAGTAATATTAAGTGCTGAATCAAATATCTTCCTGCCTCAGTGACTAATCACAGCAGTCTAAATATTAGATCCATAACAACATTCTGGACTTCTACTGTACTTTTAATCTACAAATCTCAGTGTTTTACAAGGTTGGTAAGCATTTTTATCCCCATTGTACACATGAGCTAACTGAGGCCTGGAGAGGTTAACGTCAGCCTCTTCAGACTTGAGAGTTGTTGGTGCTCATCACCTCTGAAAATCGGGCTAGTTATTTAGATGTCTAACGTTAGGCACCTGAGTTTGAAATTGCTGGATTTAGTGATTTACCCAAAAATCACACAAGACAACTGCGAAGATAAGAAAAGAATGTTGGACTGACTCCCAACCTTATGCAGATTCCATTAGCCCACAGCTCTCCAATACTGAGGTTGAACACACTGTAGTGCACACCACCTTGAATTTCCAAAGCATTCAGCCAAGATATTTTAAAAAAAATGGGTGCCTGAAGTTAGGCTATTTAGTCACCAAAATAAATGGGCTGTTTTTCCAAAAGTCCTGAGTATCCAGCAGCTCCCATTAAAATGAATGGGAGCTGTTGATTGATCAGTTTCATGGAAAATCACAACACTTTAATTCGGTGCATACATGTGGACATAGGAACCTAACTTTAGATACTAATATTTGAAAAATCTTGGCTTTAGTCATTTTATAGTGTTTTTTTAACCAATTATGCACGTATAATTTATGTGTGTAAATGTGCTAAACATGGCTAGGGTGGCCCTGGCACCTCCTCAGAATACGGGATTTCAACTGCCCCTGCCCACATGGTCCCTCCCCCTTCTGCATCAGCCTACCCACATGGCCCCACCCTATTTTAGCCCACACACACAGCCCCACCCCCTTCTGTGTCGGCCCCCTGCACTAGCCCATCCTTGCCTGCATGACTCTGCCCCTGTGTGTGAGCCTGCTTGCATTGGCCCACCCATGCCTGCATCACTGCATATGGAGGTGTCACCTTGACCCTGCCCCTCTGGCATCCTCCTGCATCCACAATCTCTTCCTATTCTCACCTCTCATTTTCAATGGATAAAGCCATGTCCAGTGCTAAGTCTCTATTGGACAGGAACAGTACGGCATAAATCTAGGATTGTCCGGCTTTAAACTGGACAAATGGCCTCCCTACATATGGCATGAAATAACATATTGTACACAGATGTGGCCATTCTCATTCATGTGAACCTGAATGTATGCACATGTATTTATGTGGCCTTGTGTACGAACAAATAACTGATTTCCATATGCCCACTGGATACATACATTCACGTATCTTTGGCCCACTATGAGTTTGAGAATCCTAACCGGGTTGCTTGCATGTGTTTGAATCTTATCAGCATGGTAGAATCACTACTTTTAAAGTACCTTCTGTTTCACTGAGACATTGTCACCATATGTATTTACAATGTGCACAGCAATGCAATGCTATTTTTGTATTCCTGGATCACATTCATATGTGACTTCTGCCTTAATAAACTTTATAAAATCAAACCCAACCTTGAGCTGAGCATCAGCAGTTCTTGCACTGGGATTGAACAAAACAACAACAGTGTTTTTAATGGTGGGATGGCTAAACAAGACAGACTGTAATAACATTTTTATACATACAATACAAGACTCCTGATAGAAAGAGAATAGGTATCCACACTGACCATAGTCTGTATTTTCCGGCTCCCAACAATTTGATGGCCAAAAATAGGGTGTCTATAGAATAAAACAAAGTAAAACAAAAAAGCAGGGAATTCAGGTTAGACAAAGCAAGCATTATACAATTCCTAGACTGACACTGTTTTGTAAAGGTTATTTATGTTTTCTTCGGAAATCCACTGTATTGTAAATCCAGCAATTTTGAAATAGACATCAAAATGGCAAATTACTTTTGTATGCTTATTTATGATATTTGTGTAGTGTGCTAGAATGGCAGCTAAGAAGAATGAAGTATTATTATTATTATTGATAAACTACAGAACAGGTACAGGGCAGCCCTACTTTCTCCAGGAACATGCTCACACCAACATGAAGAATCAACATTTAGAGGTGAGAAGTTTTTGCACTCTTTATGACCCATTCAATCTTTGATTTTGCAGAACTTGTGATTAATAAACGGTATGTTAAGGTTCTAAGCAACTCACTAGTAGGTATTTAATAGAGTTGGTCAAAAAGGACAGGCTATTTTCACAAAAATATGCAAAATTTCAAAGTTGTATTACTGTCGAGGCCTTCAAAATGCAGTTCTTTATTTTTCCATTAAAAATACCTAAAATGTTATTTACATTTTCTTTTATTGCAAACAAAATGATTTTTTTTATTTCAATAGCATTTTGTTTATATCGTTGGGAAGATATCTTTAAGTGTTATTAATATTTTGTAAGAAATGAAGAAAATAATTCATTTTTGAAAGACTATATTTCAATGAAAAACCTTGTTCGATTAAAAAAATCAGACAGCTCTAGTATTTATATACACAGTATATTCATGTGTATACACTAATATGAAATTTGAGATATGATATTATTATAGTCAAATGTCAGTATTTGTGTTGGTTTGTTTTTGAATTTTTTCCTGCTGGAACTGGAAAAATGAAAAAATGTCTTTTTTTAGGGTGGATTTTTCATTTGTTTGTTTTATTTTTTCTTTCCTTCCCCCTCTCTATTTTTCCTCATCCTTCGACACCCACACCTTTTCAGTGGTACAATGGAAAACAATGAGAGAAAAGGTGGTGAAAGGGAAAAAGACGGGAAGTGAAAAATGAAAAAGCAAAATGAAAAAATGTAAAGCAAAATTTCAGAAATAAAAATGGTCAAAACTAAAAATTTCTGATTAAAATGTTCATGAAATATTGCTAATAAATGAAAAATAATTCCACCTGCAGAATTAAAATGACTGAAATATTTCACAATAATATATTTTCCATCTGTTGGTCATTGCTAATGAATTGATATTCACTGTTCTAGAGCTCTGATGTTAATTTATATCACAACTCATTGCATAAACTGAGGTTCCTTTTGCCAGGTTCCAATGATTAAATGTTAATCTTAAATGATGGCAGCCCCTCCCCCCCCCCGCCCTCCCGGGGAGAGGCTCAGAGAGCCTTTAACATAGCACTCCCATACATGGCGGTAAACAGCCATGCCCTCCCACCCAAAAATCCATGCACAACTCTATACCTAAATTAGCAGAAGCATATGCTAAACCTTTTTTAAAAGATGCAGCAGGGCCCACTAATAAAAATGTTTCCTCAAGGTACTTGGCAGCATCATGCCTGCTTTATCCATACATAGACATACTGACTCCAGGCATGCCACTCTCAAGGCACACGCCTTCCCAGTCCCTGAGTCTGCATGGCTGTAAATGCAGGAGTCTGAATTTAGCCCTAAAGCTGTCCTAAAATAAGCTAACATTGATATCACCCTGAGTCTTGGACAGCAATCCCTTGAGTGGAACTGGAAATGTGTAAGCCATATGATGCAGCTTTTCTCTATTAGCCAACAAACAGTTCTTCCAGACAGAGCAATAACACTGTCCTTTTCTTACATGGACACTATAGATCTTAGGCCTGATCTACACTACGGGGTTAGGTTGAATTTAGCTGTGTTAGGTGGATTTAAAAATGACTGCATCCACACAACCAACCCCATTCCGTCGACCTAAAGGTCTCTTAAAATCAACTTCTGTACTCCTACCCGGGGAGGGGAGTAGCACTAAAATCGACTTTGCTGGGTCGAATTTGGGGTAATGCAGACGCAAATCAACGGTATTGGCCTCCAGGAGCTATCCCAGAGTGCTCCATTGTGACCGCTCTGGACAGCACTTTGAACACCAATGCACTAGCCAGGTAACCAGGAAAAGCCCCGGGAACTTTTGAATTTCATTTCCTGTTTGGTGAGTGTGGCGAACTCAGCAGCACAGGTGACCATGCAGTCCCCCCAGAATTGTAGAGCATAGAATGTTTCTGTGCTCCCCCTATCATCTCCGTCCCTGAGGTTATCACAGATTAGAAGGTGAAAAAAAAACGCACTCGTGATGACATGTTTTCCGAGCTCATGCAGTCCAGCCTGCACTGCTAGGGCACAGCTTAATGCATAGAGGCATTCAATGGCAGAGGTCGGGAAAGAATTAAGTGATCATGAAGAGCAGAGGCAGGATGCGATGCTGAAGCTAATGGGGGAGCAAACGGACATGATGAAGCATGTGTTGGAGCTGCAGGAAAGCCAAAAAGAGCACAGACCCCCACTGCATCCACTGTATGACCGCCTGCCCTCCTCCCTATGTTCCATAGCCTCTTCACCCAGATGCCCAAGAACATGGGTGGGGGAGGCTCCAGGCACCCAGCCACTCCACTCCAGAGGATGGCCCAGGCAACAGAAGGCTGTCATTCAAACAGTTTGATTTTTAGTGTGGCTACAATAAACAATGTGGCCTTGTCCTTCCCTCCTCCCCCACCCCACCTGGGCTACCTTGTCCGTTATCTCATTTTTTTTAATTCATAAAGAAAGAATGCATGGTTTCAAAACAATAGTTACTTTATTTTGAAGGGGGGCGGTGATTGGCATACAGGGAATTAAAATCAACAAATGGGGTGGGTTTGCATCAAGGAGAAACACACACTACTGTCACACCGAAGCTTGGCAAGTCATGAAACTGGTTTTCAAAGCCTCTCTGATGCAACAACAGTGGTAACAGTGAGCTGAGCAGGCTCCATGCTTGCCATGGTATGGTGTCTGCATGGATAACCCAGGAAAAAAGGCGCAAAACAATTGTCTGCTGTTGCTTTCACGGAGGGAGGGGCGACTGAGAACATGTACCCAAAACCACCCGCAACAATGTTTTTGCCCCATCAGGCATTGGGAGCTTAACCCAGTATTCCAATGGACGGCGGAGACTGTGGGAACTGTGGGATAGCTACCCACAGTGCACTGTTCCGTAAGTCGATGCTAGCCACAGTAGTGAGGACACACTCCGCCGACTTAATGCGCTTAGTGTGGACATATGCAATTGACTGTATAAAATCAGTTTCTAAAAATCGACTTCTATAAAATGGACCTAATTTCATAGTGTAGACATACCCTTAGTCTTATCTCAAACATGTGCCATGCCTCGTTGCATCTCTGCAATTCAAGTATTTAGCTTACATTCTTCGTCTTCTTCTCCCAACCTTTCCCAGCATTTAAGGACTGGGTAAAATAGTGGACCATGAAGAATCTCCTGGAGATGAGGAAAAGTATGAACCCTAAACATTTAGGAAATGGGTTTAACTTTTCCAAGGAAGAAAGAACAGAAGAGGGGGGCAGGCCTATAGACATAAGAAACAACAGATCTAGGGCTTGTTGTAAAGTGGGGTGTATATAAGTGAGGCATGGGATTCACTATGAGTGTGTAGAAGGAAGGGAAGACTAGCTGTTCACCTCTCAGCTGGTTATGAACCTCCCAGAGTTATGCAAAGAATCTCTGCCCATGTTCATGATCTCCTCTGTGCATAAACTGTGGTGTGCAAATGCATGTGACTGCCAACCTAGGCACAGTTTGAGAGGGTGGTGGAGTTTTGATCTAATTATTTTGCACAGATCAATCATCAACAGTAGCAGAATTATCTGTTGTGTACCTCACAATACAGATACCTTAGGGTACACACATTAAAAAACCCCTGAAGACCCCATTACATGTACTACAATTTTCAGGCAACTGAAAGCTTTGCCTGGGAGATTTATAGAGGTGTTGCAGTACAAGCATTTTGTACCATCACCATTTTCATAGAGAAGATTATCAAACATTAACTTTTTTGAGTGGAATGTTGAAAACCTGAAGGAACTATCAGTAGTTAAAAATTTCATTTTGCCTGAGGAGTGGCTGTCAAGTGGTTTGCCATGAATGAGTGGTAACAGTCCCTATTTGCTACTTTGCCATGACATCCTATTTATAGCTGAAAAGAAGGCAGGTGGCGGAATAGTTTTGGGAAAAATCAAATAGTGTTTATCTGCCCAGGCAGAAATAATGCTGCCAACTTACATCACTACAATTTTAAAGCATTTGGTCTACATGTATCTGTACTTGGGTATTCCTAGGCAAGCAGTTCTATTCAGTCCTGTGGCTGGAGAAATAAGGTCATATCTAGCACCACAAATATTATCAGAGACCCAAATTCATTGGTTTGTATAGAACAGATTGTCTCTATAAGGTTATTACGAGCCTGGGTAGAAAAGTGGCTCTAGGTAAGCAATGATGCCAGGCTGATCAGACATGGCATAAGGACATTGGGTGGTGGGGTAGGTTCCTGCTGTGCATTACAAAAGTGAATACACACTCAGTATCATTACACTTGTATAAATGCTGCTGCACATAACACAAAACCTAATCTCCCAGAATAAAGTGATTTTAAAAGCAGTGCAAATGAAAACATCTGCATATTACTTGTGTTATATGAAAAAGTAGAGAGACTGAAAATATATTTAAAATATCTACAACATGGAAACATTAAACTCCACCCCATTCAACTGATATTGTTATATGTATTCCATGTACAAAAGGAGAGACTTTATTAATGCAGTACTTTAAATTCTCAATTTTAACACCTACTAAATTACTAGAGCCACTCCATGCAGGAAGTAGCAAGTCTGACTCAGTTTAGCTTGTTAAAACCATAACCTCAGGTAGTATAAACAATAGGAATAGATGAATATCTGACACAACAGATGTAAACTTACTAATGCCTGTCGACATTGATGTTTTGATTTTTTTTAGTTTAAGTGTATTGCAATATGTTCATTTAATTTTGAACAAATTTTAATTTTGTATTGCAGAAAGAAATTATACAAAAAGCACGGTGACCGACTTTTGGCTGATGCCTGACACAAACACACCCAAGAGCAAATTCTCATACAGCCATAGAACTGCAGCAAAGAAGATAGACTGCTACGCGTATGGGTCCTTTGCATCATCAAGGGCCTTTAATTCCTTCAAACCAGGAATGATGGAGGCATAAGTAGACATGCCCAGGGGAGAGACGGCCTGGTCTTCATGTTAATCACAAGGCTAACTGGAGCCAGAACATGGATGTAATGTTAACTCTGATTTTGCAATCTACATGTGTGCCCTTTGAGAAGCTGCTTATAACACCTTCCCATAATTTAGCCTTAAATCTTTATTAGGGAGCCATTTTGCCATTAGAGTAGCAGCAACACCATCTCTTACAAGTTAAAGACTAAATCCAAGACTTTCTATATATTATGTAATGTAATATTATGTAATGTTGTAATATTATGTAATGTAATATTATGTAATGTTGTATAAACTTTTAGGCAGATATATCTATGTAAAAAAAAGCCTTAGGGAAAAATGTATATCAGATATATCTATGTAAAAAAAGCCTTAGGGAAAAATGTTAAATATTTCATAAGTATTCAACTTGCAACCTGGGGGATGATATGCTAGCGTCCCATCAGATAGTCTTTTCTGGTTCTAATACATTTATCAAACACCAGTACTGTGTCCAATCAGTACTGTGGATCATATTTGTCTCAATGTACAGAACAGGAGATCAAGCTGATCATTGTATGAAACAGTAAAGAACTAATTTTAAAACTAGTGTAATAACATTCAAAAAAGGTACAAATAAGTATGCAAATAAAAAGAAAACCTATCAGTAATAGATATAAAATCAGATGTATTCTCCTAATCTGCACTAGAATACCTGCTCATTTTTTTTCCGTGAGCACTACAATGTGACCAACTGGTCAACATAGAAATCTCTCACTATAAAGGTGAGATCATAATCGAATATGTGCTGGTAGAAGACACACATGTACGTCTCTCAGAAGAGGAAATATTCTGTCTGAAGTGTTCTACAGAGCCTGTGAGGAAAGAACCATAATGTGTTACATTCCACACCCCAGAACTCCATCAGATCTTTACAAAGGAGGATCCTGTTGAGGATTATGCAATTTTATTTCATCTGTTAGACTTTTCAAGCCATTGGAGTTATTGTTATTTCAGAGAGGGACATTTCCATCCCCATATAATTTTATGTAAAGATATTTGTGATGGTCCTTAGTTTCTTTACATTTAAATTATTAACGTACAGTTTCAGAATATAGTCCTATTAGCATTTTTAGATATAAGATACATTGATATAATTAACTGGGCCACTGAAAGGGGACAATATGATAACAGTTACAATAAATAGGATCTTGCTCTTAATATAAGCCTTCATTTAAGCAACCCAAGAACATTTTAAGCATACTTACTTGGAACCGGTAAAAGGTGCCATCATCCTTTAGTGTTAGAACATGGTCTGAGATTGGAAAGAAATAGCCATGGGCGGCCATTAACGTCCCCAAATGTAGAGCTTCCACTGTTGGGATGGGGGGAAAGAAAAGAACATTAAAAAAATTAAACCTTTTCTGTATTTACAGCCAGGGACCTTTACGTGACATTTCTTCCTGTCTCCTGTGAGTAAACACCCAGCTCTTTTACTATTTAATATAGAGATGGTACCAAAATGATTCCTCTTCCTAAGGAATTGATTTGTATTTCTCCCATTCAAAAGCTCTTCCTCTGCATTACCACTACCTTCATTACTAACTCACTCCATCCATTTCTCACTGATAATTACTGCCATTGTGTTGTCTAACCCTTCCCTTCAGAACAGGTCTAGAAGATGACATGGTGTTAAAACAGCCTGGGCTGGTAGACATTGATTCACCTACCAGTTGCACCAATGTGATAAGAGATTTCCCTAAAATCCCCAGTATAGACAATGTATTGAAGAATGGCTTTAATTTATCTTAGCATATAAAGCCACAGCCAATAAATATATGTGTTAAGCATTACACATGTTCTTATATTTCCATTGTACCATTGTTCAGTATCAGAGATTGAGGTCCCAGGATATTGACTACACACTTTGTAATTATTACAATTCTCCTGTCAGGAGAGCAGAGCCATACTCTAACAAGAGTGGGATTGTATTAGTTACACCATGTTCTTCTTATGGTAGTTGAGTTCCTTGGCCCACAAGGCTAAGCTATTCTCCACTAATCCCTCCAAATAACTTTACAAGCCAAACCAGGCTCTGGAATATTTATATACCCATGAAATAGACACAAAACAATTTCTGCCATTTGAAATTTTGACAATACTCTATCAAGGATGGACCAATGGCATGCATAATTTCACTTTGAAAAATCTGTTACAGTTTTATGTGCAACACAATGTTCAAACTGATAAATGCCTATAGTTTTGCTTTCTTTATGTTCGTATCATACTTTAAAAAGAAGTGACTCTATTGTTGTAAATTCCTAATACTTAATTACTAGGTTAAAATCCCATTCCTCAGTTTTTCAGCATGGATCTATATTGTATATCCTCTCTAAACCCTGGAAGTAGCACAGTAACACCAGCAAGTCTTTGTGGCACTGGAGGAAATTACAGTCACTACATCAACATAGGAAAAATATCTATTTAATCTGTTTCCTGTCCTTGCTACAAAAGTCATTTTGACAAG